CTACAACCAGCCGCCAAGAGAGGGTTCCTTTCTGCCCACGTGGCTGGTTGTAGGATGGCCGGCTATTAAAATAACGCGTTAAAAACTCTTCAAAACGCTGTATCAAAATTCCCTCCTGCCCTGGAGCCTGCACAGGAGGCTAATATTTGTGCTGAAAATGATCAGTCATGACCAGTTTTAAAAGTACAGTCGTATTCGTCATCCCAAGCCGCCATTGACACGTCTAGACAAAACTTAGCTCAGTATCAGAATCAAGGGACCAAGAATTTCTATGTTGTAAAGAATGTATAATATTCCCCCTTTCGTAGTTTGTAGCCTGAGTCAAGATGGCAGTTTTGTACAGAATTCGGAAGTCGGAAATGTTTCGCGACGATAGTGCCCTTAAACAAAATGAACTTGCCAGCATTTTCATGAATTTTAAGTGTGTAGTCATTCCACAGATGCAAGCTCATACATATCCTTGATGTTCGCATTGAACAGACTTGTCGAAACCTTTTAAGTATGTCATGTACATGTATGTGTATATGCCAATAAATGGATTTGCACATTACACTTGTCCATGAAATCTTGCCTTGCTTTTTCTTTGTGTGATGAATGAATGAAGTGATTTAAACTATGTTAAACAATGTAAGGCCTCACCAAGTTACATGTAATTTTATGGATGACGTCCTTTGGAGACCCTAAATCTAATGCGAGAGGGCAAAAAAAAAACAAGAAGGGCCCTAAAAAACAAGATGCCTAGATTAGAAATATACTAAGAGACGACAAATGTTAGGACACAAATTGAATGAGGTGACACAGTGTAACAAGCAAGAAGTCTTTTATTCATCATCAAAACAGCAATAAATCAGGTGGAACAGCAGTTGTCGTCCTGTCCTGTTTTCGCGTTACGGGTTTCACGTCAATCTGACGATTTGCGGCACTGTCGTGACTCTAGACTATGGTCATAGTTACAGGAAGCAGAATTTTTTTTCTAGGAACAAGCCAAAATCAATGTGTGCGCGGACGTCATCCACAAAATTTACTTGGTGTGGCCTAACCAGTATCAAAATGAATTTAACTTTCATCAGACTTAAATCAATTAAGGTTAGAATATACATGTACTGTACATGGGTGCAAGTACAGTCAAACCTGTCTAAGACGACCACCCATGCACGGGGCCCAGGAAAAGTGGTCTTCTTAGACAAATGGTCTTCTTAGACAAAAGCAGGCGACATTCAATGAACCCAGTCCTAAACTTTTGAGTTTCCAAGAAAAGAGCACACACATGAAATCAAAGTGCATCACAGTAGATCTTTAAATGAAACTTACCGTGGCCGACAAGAACAAAATTTTACACCGCAACTTTTGGTGTTTTACACCGCAACTTTTGGTGTTTTACACTGCAACTTTTGGTGTTTTACACTGCAACTTTGGGTGTTTTACACTGCAACTTTTGCTGTGTTTTACACTGCAACTTTTGGTGTTTTACACTGCAACTTTTGCTGTGTTTTACACTGCAACTTTTGCTGTGTTTTACACTGCAACTTTTGCTGTGTGGAAAACTTACACCCCTCCCCTTTTATAATGGACGGTCCCCCTGTCAGGTCAAAGGTGACAACGATGGCATGCAAACTACGTCGACTAAGTTATCCTTTTCGTGCATAAGTTTTTTAGAGGAAAAGCTTGGCTACGTTGTGACGTTAGTTTTTTTCTAAAGGTTTTTCTAGCTTTGGCCTATAGACCGGGATAAATTTAAAAATGTTTCGACCAGGTCCAGTGATTACAAATTATGTTGCTTTTTGCTGCCATGCGTCACAACAAATTTATCAAGGACGTCAGATATCCAGCTCCAGACATCAACAGCAATGACATAAATTTTCTGCAGGTTAGTTCATTATTATTGGGTATGGACATCGTTTTTCTTCATTTTAATGTCCCTAGACGCTTGTGACTTGCCGCCGCCATCTTTGTCACCTTTGACCTGACAGGGGGACCGTCCATTATAAAAGGGGAGGGGTGTAAGTTTTCCACACAGCAAAAGTTGCAGTATAAAACACAGCAAAAGTTGCAGTGTAAAACACCAAAAGTTGCAGTGTAAAACACCAAAAGTTGCAGTGTAAAACACAGCAAAAGTTGCAGTGTAAAACACAGCAAAAGTTGCAGTGTAAAACACAGCAAAAGTTGCAGTGTAAAACACCCAAAGTTGCAGTGTAAAACACCAAAAGTTGCGGTGTAAAACACCAAAAGTTGCGGTGTAAAATTTTGTACTTGTCGGCCACGGTAGAAACTGATTTATATATTTCGATATGCATGCACTATTGACATGTTCAAAGCAAATATTTTACCAACGTATTTCTAGCTATGTACACAATTATGCAGTTTAACCAGAATATGTAGAAAAAGGTATTACTAGTAACCATAAATTTTTAATTGATCTCGGCAACCTTTGTCACACGTGTGATCCACTCGCTGAAGTCAGAAGCATCATGAACTCTACACTCTACCAAGTTGAACACAGATGAGCTTTCATTCAAACTTTATACTGTCATACATGTATTATACTTGCTCATAGATCAGTTTTGTCCCATATTCCAGGAAGTTTTAAAGCGATATTATGTAAGATTTTTGCACCAAAACTATAAAATTATATATATTAATAATTGAAATTTTCTCACTCAGATTGTCATTTTCAAGAACTTTCAACATATCAGCGTGGCTATTTTGCTTTTCTGGTGACTCAATGCAGTGCGAGAACTTCTTTTGAACCTCCTTGGCAAGAATAAGGTGCGCCAAGCCCACTGTATTTTTAGGAGGCTCCTAAAAAGAATGTAAACAAACAGCATTTTTCGTTCAGGTATCTTTGGCAGCTTTCAATACGTTTTTGTGGCGCAACGATGTTGATGTTTTACTCCCAAAATGTCATTATGAAGATAGTGAAAATCTAACATTTTTGTGCATAATATCGCTCTAACTACATCCGTTACTAGCAGTGATATCTACATTCGTTATATCCTAAGACACTAGATGGCACACAAAACTAGTTAGCATTTGTCATGAGTGACAATGAAAACGTATGTCATTTGGATTATTTTGCAGCATTTAATTTTGGCACCTTATTAAATTATTATTGTCGATATTAAGGAAAGTCTTATGCATGCAATGCTGCTGAACAAATAAGTAACAAATCTATGGCTCTGTGTAACATTTTGGAACAGTTGGAACATCCCTTTTTGTGCTCCATATAGCAATTATCTAATCTCCAAGCAGATCCCTCTCGGTGGCAAAAAGACAGTATCAAATTGGCCAGGCAGTATCCATTAGCCAGAGAAGGTCCGCGTTGGGGTCAGGACAAAAAAAAATGGCCATTATATAAAAATGTAACGATCATTCCCCCACAACCTCTGCTTGGAGAGTAGCAATTAGGCCATGTTGATTTGATTATATGGATGACATCCTCCACGAGCCCCAAAACTGATGCGCGCGTGCGAATAAAAAAAAAGTTTTGCAAAAAAAAAAGTTGTTTTCATTATGAAATCTACATTGTACGTGGTCATGAGGGTTGAACAAATGGGACAGAATATGGTTTGGCGAATAATCTAATCTTCAAGTTCATTTCCTTACAATTTCGTCTTTTTTCGTTTGATTTTGGCATTCTACGACATTGGTATAGTTTTTACTTATTTTTTGTAACTTACTGTATATTTTTGCTCATTTTGCAACTGTTTTGTACGGTATACAGTTTGGTTGAAAACTTTTTTTTTTTTTGGAAACGGCCGAAAATTCATGCGCGCACGGATGTCATCCATATAATCAAATCAACATGGCCTTATCTACTAAAATGCTTAGCATAGCCAACATCAAAGTTTCAACATACTGGAACAATTTACTTATAACTGTCCAACTACACGCATGTACATGTGTATGCACATTTTTAATTGCATGACTTTGCACAACAAACAACAGTAGAATTCTACTTCAGTCTATGCAGGCATATCTTTGTTCTTCATTCATTTTTAGTACAAATTAAATTTCTTTTAGAAATCTTTCTTTCTCAGCAACACTTAAATAAAATCTACAAATTCTATACTAGTATTTACATCATCACATAATGACTTACTTCTTTTATGTGACATTATCATACATGTCTTTACCAGAAGTAAAATTTAATTTTACCATGAAAAATGAAGACCTAGACAAGTAGATACCCTAACTACATTTACCTTCTTAATAATCATCTTTCTTGCCTTTTACATGTACTATACATTTTATCACATTCAATATTACACTTCACAATACACAAAGCAAAGAGAATTATGTTCTGACCTCAGTTTTTGAGTTGGCAATGTACATGTAAATGTAACAATGTAACGGTAATACTAACTTACAGTACCCCACGTGTGGACAAATTAGTTCTTAACAGCACAGAATAAAAATCAGAAAACATTTATGTTACATGCATATGACTGTACATGTAGATACATGTATGACCTTATACATGTACATGTATCTTGTTCAGAATCTCAGAAATAAAATGACACAAAAAAAAAAACAAAGAACTATAATATGTGACAAGAAAACTGAGTAGCTACTAACAGAATAGCCCTTAAAAACATACATTGTACAATGTATATTCAGTGATTTACCTCTCGAATTCACTGAGTACAAAACATACGTGTACATGTACCTGTAACCTCAATGTGGTTTCACTACATGCATGTGAATTTATTTCTTTTTACCTCTACTGAGAAAAGAGAAAAAGTTTCTCTGTTTGGGTACGGATGTTCCTGATGCCATGGACTCTTCATCTCCAGTCGGTAGATCCTGTAGCAGTACCTCCTTGACACAAGTTTCCCCATCGATTGTGCTGAAGCTCTCAGCTGCTGTGTCTTCAGCTAGTGCAGACATGACACACGGCTCCTCCTGTGCCTCATCAGCGGAACTGCAGCTCTCAGACCTGGGCAGAACAGATTTTTTTTTTCATTCCAATATGTAATGACATTAGACATGGTGTCTGCACACCTCAAGTTTTTCAACTTCTTTCTTACATGTAACACCAACATGTAAGTGTCCTCATGCAAGTTTCACTTTGTTACACAACACAGTCTCTATTGTATAAGTTGGATCACTAGAGATCATCAAAGTCTTAAAAGAAAAGAAAAGAAAAGAAAAGAAAAGAAAAGAAAAGAAAAGAAGAGAATGAGAAAAAAAATAAAATCCCTACCTACCTTTCCTAGGCCTCATCAGATTATAACAAACACAATAATCAGTTCTGAGTAGCCTTCTGTGCAGGCTCCAGAAATTTTGATACAGCATTTTGAAGAGTTTGGAACAGGTTCTTTTAATAGCCGGCCATCCTACAACCAGCCACGAGAGAAATGGAACCTTCTTTCGCGGCTGGTTGTAGGATAGCCGGCTATTTATAATAAAAGAATGCGTTAAAAACTCTTCAAAACGCTGTATCAAATTCCCACCCAACCCGGAGCCTGCACAGGAGGCTAAGAGCTCTGAGGTATACTACTGTACACCTACTACAATTTCCATACCTGGCTATTTCAGCAGGGCTCAGCATTCTTGGTTTGACCGGGATCTTGACATGAGTCTCATCGTCAAGGTCAAACTCTGGTTCTACCGGAACTTTGACATCAGTCTCGTCATCGATGTCGTATTCTTCGTTCATTTTCCTCGCTTTATCGCCGCTGGTCTTCTCCTGGCCCTGTCCTCCGGGACTGGCGCCATGCGTGGGTGCTGCGGCCATGTTTGGTGGGTAGGGCATCGGTGGAACGTAGTACACCGGTTGTTGGTCGAAACCGGGGCCTGCATCTGTCACGATGTCATCCTTCTCCATGGCATTCTGGTTTCCGATCTGTATGTTCTTGGGACTGTAGATGTTGTAGACGTTTGTGACCTGGTACGGCTGAGGAGGCAACACTACTGGTGGCTGACAGGTGATGACGGGAATGTTCCCCACCCCTGGGGTTTGGCAATCCCCTGCCCTGGGGATGTCTGTCTCTCCTGGAGTCTGGTCTGGACTTCCATCCCTCTTCCTCCATGGACTGTCAGCAGCAGAGGCTGGTACTGATGGATCTGTTAGTGGCTGGCTACTTGGAGGAAACCCCATTTTGTTATTTGATAACACTGATGTCTGATTTTCGAGATCTCTATCCTTGCTACTCTTCCCTTGGTTGGTGCCGACGTTGTTGTGAATACCAGGTGCCAAACTGATGTCCCCACTACTGTCAGAGTTCGCTGAAGGCCTATCACACCTCTCCACCCACACAAACCCTCCCACTTCCCCTGCTGCCTGTGGCTCTGCCTTAGCAGAAATTCCTGCATCGTGCTGGTTGGATGCTGGGAGAGTCACGGCGGCTTGAGGGTTGTAGCTATCTGCTGGGGGGACTCGCAAAGCTCTTGTTTGTTGGTGTGCAGCTGATGGCTGCTGAGGTGTGCGATGAGTACTGTCCAGGAGATGACAAGGCTCTGCCTCGTGTGCCTGCTGGTTGCGAGCTGATTCTTGCTCTAACACTGAGTTAAACCCAGCTTTACCAGAACTGTGGCTTCTGTTCCCACTTGTGGATTCTGCATCTTTCTTATTCTGGATGGATGCTCTTGCGCTGCCTCTCAAGTATTGCACATTTGATGCAGCATGCCTTGTTGCTTCGCACGTTTGTGACTTTTCCTCTGTGCTCTTTCCCTTTCCTCCATCCACGGGGCTGCTGTACCTCCTGTCAAGCTGACTGAGACTCTGAGATGACTTCCCCGCAGAAAGGGACTCAAAGTCTGTTTTGGAGCTGAGACTGGAGGGAACACTGCACACGCTCCTCAGCGGCTTTCTCGTAACCTCCCGCCTACTCTTCGACATTTTCCTCTCCCTCTTTTCTCTTTCCTTTGTCTTGAAGGTCTTTTTGATCTTGTCGGGGAAGTAGTCGCTCATCATGTCCAACTGAGACACCGTCCTCAGCTCGCTGGGTATTTTCTTCCTCGGCATGAGATCGGGATGTGGAATGATGGGAATGACGCAGTTGTACTTCCCAGGATTCTCTATGGCCTCCATCAGACTTGTCTGGAGCTTCTTCTCACACCACCTGTCCTTAGTGAAGTTTTCGGTCAGCACCAGAACGGTGTAAGTACTCCTCTCTATGGCATCCGCGATGTTCTTAAAGGGGGAAACGCCAGCTGGGAAGTCCTTCTCGAGCAGGCACCCTTTTAGTTTATGAGACTTTAAAAGGTCCATGATTTTGTGAGCGTGCTTTTTGTCTTTCTCAGAGAAGACCAGAAAGTAGTCGTAGTATTCAACATCGTCGTCATCCTCTAAATCTGGACCACTACTGTCGCTGCCTCTTTCCTCGCTGGGATAAGGAGGCAAGGATGCGGATTTTGCTCTCTCGCTGTCTTCCTCCTCTGTGGGAATGAAGTAAGATGGCTTGCCTTCCTCCTTCACTGCAGAAACTTGATGACCGGCAGGCAGATTTCTCGATTCCCACGTCGGACGTGCAGCTTGTTGACTTGAAGGAGATGAAATCTGCACAGGTACTCGAGCGTCTGGACAAGAGATGGCACCATTTTGTTCATCCGGTAACGATGGATGAACTGTACTGAATGAAGTTCCCTGTCCCCACTCTCTACTGCTACCACCAAATGCCACTGCACCTGCAGACACAGGTGTTGGGTCACTGTGATAGTACCCACTATGTTCAGCTATGTTGTCATGTTCACCATTGACCAGCATTGTAGTACAGGGACTTGCATTCTTCTCTTTGGCATCCGTTGGTTGACTACTAGGCGATGGCCTGACTTGCTCACTCACGAATGAGCCAGGGACAGGATCGGCATCAGTCTCCACGTCTGACGACAGTTGAACAGTAGCCCGAACCTTGTACGGGGCTGCAGCCATCTTTTGCGGTGTGGAAGCTTCAGACTACAGGTATGAAGGCACTGTCTGTGATATACCTAGGCAGCAAACGGTCTTCTTTTGACAGCATGAAAGTCTCTCTTTTAATCAATCGTTACTGCTGTTAGTGAGTCTGACTTATATGAAGAACTGTACAATATTTCAATGAACATTTAGGAATTAAGAGGTCTTTAGAGCCTTTACCACCTCCAAGTCTAGATCTTGTATCCTTCAAATGTTTGTATCTGACGAGTCATATGTGTTCATCTGAAATGAAATTAAAAAGAGGAAAACAAGTTTACCTCGTGAACTGTGTTACATTATATAAAAGCTGAAAGTACATGTATTACTATGTACATGATATCCTTGCCTTAATTAACATGGTATAACAGTGGGAATTTGTTACTGTAAATATTTTTCAATGAAAAATGTTTTCGATTAACCACAGAATACGTACAAGTCATAGCTTGAGTTTGATAATAATATAACGTTACATGTAACATATACAGGGCATGACACAAGTAGTACAAGTTTGTTAACTTAACTTGAAGTTACATTTAAGAAATCGTTGGTCGCTGATTTAATTTTTACACACAAAAAGACCACTCTGACTGACATCTATGAACAAATGTTAGGAAGTTACCGTGAATTTGTCAAAGTTCTGAAATATCATCACTAGTGCACTAAACGTTGTAACAAATTACAATAACTTAAGAAGTTTGTAGCCTTTTATAGCGGGTCGTCAGCATATCAAATTCATCAATTTAACACCCAGAAATACTTGCCGTACACCTACCTTCACCACTAGTGTAAGGCCATCAAGAAATGTCTTCGAAAATCGCTGCATTCTGCTAAAATATACCCGGTAGTTTTCCTGTTTCTAAACCTCCAAAATCTGCTTCTTCTCAACTTCCGTGTTGGAAATCACCTACGACGTCATTGTGTACCGCACACAAACGCAACACATCAATACGTATTTAAATCATCAGTATAAAATTTTGAAGTCTTTTTGACATTTTTTTGTATGTTAGTGCAATTTTTAAAAACATTGTCAATATGTTGTAAACGTATTTAGAATACATCTACGTCAGATATTATGTGCTTAAAGTTACGTCTTCGTAGCGTTAAGTTGTGTTGGGTCAATGGGCCGTTTTAGTGATTTTGTTGGATTTGGATTGAGGGGGGTTTACAAGAAGAAAACCCTGGATTTGGATGAAATTATAGGAGGTCAAGTCACTTGGATAACATTTTTAAGGAGCCAAGGCACCTGGATATGAATGAAATGAAAGAGGGATCAAGGCCCTCGGATAATAATGAAGTGGAGTCAGAAACTAAAAAAAATCCAAGCTCTTCAACGCCCCCTCCAATTTTTTATTGGAACAGCCCAATGCTGGATCAAAGGTCAGTTGTTGGCAGGGACTTTTTAGTTTCGTTGAGCGAGAGTGGTACAGAATTTTGAAGCACGGACATGATCATGAACCAATAGCTTTATAGACAAGCATCACTGCGAATGTAGAAGTACAAGTGTTTTTTCTAGGAAAGGCATAGCTGCTGCCGAAGTTCTGGTGAGTATCAATTTGCAACTGCAACGATATTAAAATGTATGCATAGATGTAAGTTGTAACTTCTAAGTTGTGAGAAAATAAGTTAGTTCTTGAATTGACATGACAATAATTTCCATGCTACTGAATCCATCGCAAGAAATCTGACTAGAATGAAATGTCTTTTACGTTTATAATTACAATATCGTTTATTGCACACATCCATGCCCCATTGGGGCTAGCTAAATGCAGCTACATTTGTACAAATAACTATTATAAGGAAACTATGTTATATTCCATTTATCCATGCTTTACACGTTTCTTAGATCTCTTCTTAAAACATTTGTAGACGACTTTACAGAGTTTTTCTAATACTGAAGACATAATATCAAGAACGTGCCAATATAACTTGTATATAACTTGTCTCTTGCCATGATTATCACATCAATTCACATGACAAGAGAACTCAAGACAAGATCTTAACCGGGTTGAAGAAGAGACAGAGTGTGTCTCGAAAGCTCCCAGAGTAGCTCAGCTTCCATCGTGTGTTTTGATATAAATATTTCGTCAAAAGTATGTCATCCTTTACTAACACCTTTTCTGGACCACTTGCAGGCAGTCTGTTACCATGGCAACCAACATGGAGGATACCAGTAACCCCTCATCACAGCCTCACAAACGACCACTGCGTCAGTGTCGCAGTCTCCCAACAGACTGGCGGTACGACTTCTGCATGTGGTATCACAAAGACGACCAGGATACAGCCGAGACAATATACCGAAGACTAGAAGAAGAGAACTACGTGGGATTCATAGAGCACAGGGACTTCCAAGTTGGCAACGATGTCTTTGGTAATATCGAGCATGGTATCGACAACAGCAGTAAGATTTTGGTGCTGCTGACTCTGTCTTCAATACAGTGTCTGTGGTTCGAGAAGAAAGTGCACACCAGCCTGACAAAGTCTCTGGACGACCCACAGAGACGAGACAGTGTTATACCCGTATTTGACGGGATAGGAAAAAAGGATTTGCCATCTTCCATAAGGACACTGACGGGTGTAGACTTCAGAAACAGGCACTTCTGGAACAGACTAAAGCAGTCTTTGGGGTCCCCAATGGACACAAGGGCACTGTCAAGAAGTGCTAGCAGTAATACTTAGTAGTACATTAACTATATAAATGTTGTATATTTATATATAAATTTGTATATTTAATCATAGTGGCTGACTTTCTTCTGTCTGTTTAGGACGTGACTTTGAATGATTTGTTGTCTAAACTCCCCATAGGATTCCCTGGGTGCCAGACAAGTTTACGGGCCACTAACCATTTCCTTCAGCAGCCAGAAGCCCTTCACCCGCAGACCTAAAATTACCGCTGCGGTGGAGTTGAGCCTGTGAGAAGTATTCGGCCCTGCAACTAGACTCATTTTTAGGGCCCCCAGGGCTAGACTCCTCCATGGCTAGACTCCCCGTAGCTGTAACTTAGACCAGCGGGAAGGGCTCTTGGCTGCCAAAGGGAACGGCTGGCGGCCCGAAACGAGTTTGGCTTCCAGGGTACCCATAGGAAGGAGGATGTTGCATTCAATGGTCTCACAACATACACGGTGTATTCAAAAGTTGTATTTGTGTAAAGAGTGTGAGTAATAAGTACACAAGGCACACCCAAATCCACAACTTACTGGTTTACCAATCCTTGTGCAAAGCCAGGTGTTACATAGCCTGGTATATCCAGTCTGATCGTGGTCGGGGCCGAAAGAGCTCTGTCCCGCCCGCCTCACATAGGTTTCCCGGTGTGTATTTCACGAGAGATTGATAATCCCCAAGCATACTGTCTCTTATTAGCGTAACTCTCCTACCGGGACAGTCTGTTGCACTGGGCAGAGGAAGCTATTAGAGCCCCCGAAGACACAACCTGCCCGAACACCCCAATCACGATCAGACTGGATACCAGGCTAGGTGTTACAGTTACTGTAGGAAATATATACAGGAGTGGTACTTATGAGTAAATGGTACTTACAGAACCTGACAACTGATATGATAATAATATTTAGCAGTGTCTGCTATTGTTTACACTAATACACGATGAAGAAACTAAATAGAAACCAGAGAAATAACAACAGCTGGCACAGTCGAGGTACATGTATCTACAGTAGATGCTACAGATACAACAAGTAAAATCTGAGATTTTATACCTCCGGGCTTTTTATTGTATATTCTTATATGTTGTTTGTTATGAATAGTTGATGGTGTTAAATTTTATGTGTTAGATTTAGCGTTCCAGGTTGTGTTAACACAGGTCAACATTTTCATCTGCATAACATGTACCCACGAACTTATGAAATTCTATTTAACCTGCCGCAACGAACTCAATGACATAATGAAACTCAGAATGACAACCGGAGCCATTAAATCAGATGATAAAACCACAAATATTTCTGTGCCCCCATATTGACACTTCCGGGTTCGATCCAAGTCAAAAAACACCATAAATCTGCAAAGAAATATAGATTTTAACCAAAGGTTCTTTGAATTGTGCATATTTTCACTGAATCTGGCTATGCAGCCCTGGAAAACAGCGTTTTGGTGCATAGAATGTATCGAGACCAGACACCCCTCTGTGCTAAAGGTCATAGAAGTGGACGAGACTTGCAATACTTTCAACACACCAAAGGTCAACGGTTGCGACCATTTTCACGCTCAAAGGGGTGTTCTGGGGCCACCAAAAGGCACCATTTTCAGGCCGGAAAACACATATACAATAGAAACAAAAGAACGTGCATCATTTACAGCCCAATAGCAAAACATACACCGAGTCCCAAAAAAATCCGTCCACCCAAACGCGAGAAACAGCTGCAAACATGAAAATCTAAATCTCTCACAAAACCCTTCCGTGGAAGGATATCTCCTCCCCCGGAGGTAACAACAGCTGGCACAGTCGAGGTACATGTATCTACAGTAGATGCTACAGATACAACAACATGGAGAAACTGAGCCCAACTACAGTAGAAGACACCTCATGTATTCTGTTTGTATGAACTCAATTCAGTATCAGAGGTAGATCAGTAATCAGACATGATTGACAATACATTTTTGTACATTTGTAAAGTTTGTCGGAAATTTTCAGTGCCTGTAAATAAAGTTTGACTTAAGCAATTACATGTAATATGCTCACTGTCATAGATTAGAATTGATGCAATCAATCAGATTCATATTCAAGCACTTATCCAAACATTCACATGAAAGATTAGACTTTAAAAGTCAGTAGTACCTTGGTCATTCCTCTGTCTTAAGTTATATGTGTAAAAGTATAACTAACAGAGTTAGAAACTGAGCTGACATTTACCAAGTTACTGCTTGCAACTATCATAGTGCAGTACAGAATAAAAATGTAAATCTTTCAGTTTAGAATCGTACATTCAACCTAGATTATCTCTTCTGCATTGGCAATGCCACAAGAAAGAAGTATAATCATGTTGTAGCATTTAATTCCGTCGTATCAATATAGTCTCAATATGGCTGATATCTTGGTCGGGGTTTACGGACCAAGTCCGGATTGAACTGTGAGTTGTATCTGAACTTAGAAGTCTCCATAACTTCTGCCTCGGTAGGTTTAGGTGCCTCTCCTCTTCGAAGTGCCAGCAGTCTTTCTGTCTTGGCTCTTTCCTCGGCTTCACGTTTCAACCTCTCTGCCCTTAACTGCTGTACGCTTACTGAAGGTCCCTGTCTGCTCCTGGACTCACTTCCTTTGTGTCTGTCTCTGTCCTTTTCTTTGTGTTTTTTCTTGTGTTCCTTCTGGTGCTTAGACCTCTTCTTGCTAAGGTATCTGTTCATGTCATGTACAGGATCAAGGAAATTCTTCCTTTTCATGTCCAAACTACTAGACACTGATGAAGATTTGTCTTGCTCGTCGTCTTCCTTCTTAAGTGTGTCGTCGCGTCTTGTCTTGTTCAGGTACCAGGGTTTGTTTCCTTGTGCCTCGACTGCACTCTGGCCCAAATATGTAAGGAGTCCTGCAATGAAACATATAATAACGATGATACATTAAGATACCAGATCTAAGATCTTCAGTGTTTAAATGTATCATAAGGCCACACCAATTCAATTTCTTGGTTAACGGATTCACCCACTTCATTTTTTTCTGATTTGCAAATAAAAATAAAAAATCAGAATTAACTGCAAAATGCTCATATTTTGCCCTGAACAGTTGAAAACAGTCCTTTTCATTTTAATTAGTTGTTACAGTTATATTCAATCTTTCAATGCAATGGTATAGTATCATTAAAAGTTCAAAATTCATTGTTTAAATTTTGAACCAGCCTGGTGTGTTGACTTCATGGCTCCTATCGATTCGTGCCATTTTAGGCCATAATAAAATAGGATGCCTAGGCCTGTTTTTATTTTTTTTCGCCCGCCCGCTCCATTATTTTTCTACAGAAATCCGTTAACCAAGAAATTAAATTGGTGTGGCCTAAGACTGAGAATAACACAGACCTTGTACAAATCAAAGCATAGGGGGTCCCTATCCTCAAACAGCTTGGTGAGAAGACTGGTATTAAACTGGCAAAGTGATAATATCCAAGCAAAATTATTATTATTATTCTACCACCCAGCAAGGAGGTATTTTTTTATTACTCCGTGAAGGAGGTCAGGACCTCCGGACGGAGTGTTGTGATCGGCTGATTTTTCACGTTCGCAGTCAAAACACTGGGTTCTCTTTGTGTAATCGGCACGCAATTTTATACGCCGCCTGCGGGCATGCCCGTGTTGATGCACGAATGTGTATTTTTGCCGTTGCTGCTTTCGCGGTCAATGTAATATTGCAGACGCACCCCTACAATTACGAGGCGAATTGGAATGGTCCAGAAAAACGCGTTGTTTGGAATAGCAGTGGGGGGGGTGGAACTTCATGCAGATACGGGGTGGTTTTGATAAGTGGTTCCAGATGTTTTTGCCCATGCTTAAGAGATGCCAAGTTTTTTGGAAGATGTTCGCAGCCAAAACGCATTCTTCAGTACGTCGCATTTCTGTGTAATTTCGCATGTGGTGTGGCATTATGTCCGGGATGATGCACGTCTTTTTATTTTTACCGTAGCTGTTTTGATATTGAAGTAAATGCATATTTTAGAAACATCCCTACTTTTACAATCCTGTGGAATAGGACGTAGGTTTAGGCAGTTGTCTGGTAGCAGAGGTACTGTAAGCAGATATCCTGGTTATCTGGCCGGCGGTAGTAACACTCGCGGTGCTTACCGCAACTGTTGCTGGAATTTGGTCTGTTCCAGGCGCGCTTAATTAGGTACAGGCACGGTAAGACGGTCGGGTTGTCTTTGTTACTAGACACGACCATGATAGTCCGATCTTTATGTGAATGCAATGATTGTGTGTGTGTAATTAAAATGAACTTCGAACTTGAAGCACAGTATCTTTACACGCCCTGGGAGCAGTAATGGATTTAGCTCTTTGTATGTTTTATGCTTGTGACGCGCCCTCATTGTATTAACCGTTGCCGAATTATAATGTCTGCACAGTAGGTCTGGCGTTGACGCTTGGGATTTTGTTGAAATATATCAAACTTCACGGAGGATTGTTACCTATGGCTTCTTGTTATTTATTCATTTTAAAAATGTGTATAAATTGTTGTATGTTTAGTGTTTTTGTGGTTTTATGTTTGTACTATAGGGATAACCTGAAATAAAATCATTCATTTCATTCATTCAAGGAGCCCACAGGAACTACATGATACATACCGATGTCTTTCTCCCTCTGTTCTTGTTCCTTCTTCTTCTCTTCCTCGTGTTCCTTGTTTACCCCGCCGACCTTTTTACCTTCTTCAAGATCTTTGAAGAAATTTATATGCCCCTGGTGGCCCAAACTTGCGGCCGGCACAAGCTCTGTCCCTGTAACACTGGTGGTGTCGTTGGAGGAACTTGGGCCTTGGATAGTTTCTTCTTTGCCCCCCTCCCCCAAACGTTGTCTCGCTCGCGAACGGAGAAGCTCGGTTCTGGCTTCTTGCTCGGCCAGCGCCCGCCGTCTCTCCCGCTCTTTCTCCTCCTCTGCTGCTTTGGCTTCATCTCTGCGAACCTTTGCGATGTTATCCTTGTTCCTGACGTGCCAGCTCTTTTTGGGAAGGATATTCATAATTTTCGCAGACCGATAAAATTTATTTCGAGCACAGTGACAACAGACAACAGTGACCTCACCGGATCTAAAAATAAAGGTCAACATTGTAAAGCAGCCAAACGCAAAGAAATTCAGCCTGGTGCACAACTTATAATCAGTATCCACTGGCTGTCTCCAATATTACAAAGATAATATATCACATACGTATGAAAAAGTCTCATAAATTGTGACATTATTGGGAACTTTATTTTCTATTTCAGTGTAAGATTTGGAAATTCGTCTTACATGATAGCGCTGTGATGCGGTTGTTGAAGGAAAGAAATGGCCAAGCCCACACCGGCTGAAACATCTCGCGCTAAAAAATCTGGATCCCTTACTGAAATCTCGCGTTCTTCCGGAAGGTATGGGATCTTTCATTCATTTCTTGAATACACGAACAAATGATAATATGTAGGCTTTAATGTGGCTATGTTCGTCCTACAGAATATGTCAAACAGTTTGTTGTTTTTAAGCGTCCTCAGCACAGAAGTCATGCTGCTAAAATTATTTATGAGAACGTATGGGGACTAAAACGTATGGGGACTAAAACCTTAGTTAGAAAGACTACTGTTCTTGAATGTTAACGTCTTTTTAAGAATTCTAACTACCTAATTTTTGCTCCCATTACAATGTAGGTAAGCCCTTTGACCATCATGACCACTGTGACGTTACATCTAGTGGAGTAAAACACAGTTTACAACCATGGTAGGTAAGAAGAGAAAACAGGCTTATTCAAAGCCTTCAGATGTATCAGCTGAGAAGAGAAAAAGGACAGAAGTTGCCCCTGTTCCCTCAACAAGCAGGCCAAGACGTCGGGCAACCGTGAAGGGGATACAGGAAAGAGCAAGGAGAACAACGCAAAGTTTACCAGCTGTCAGAGCTAGCAGGAGAAACGTTGAAGCTAGTTATCACGACGAGAAGTCCAGCGTACGAGCCGTCAGTGGTGTATGGCAGAGAACAGGTTACAGACTAGTCAGGACAGGCACCAAGACTATTTTGGACCTGCCTATCGAGTGTGTCGCAAAAGTGTTCACGTTTCTGTCGGACAGGGACAAGTGTCGAGCGGCGTCGGCCTGTCGTTTTTTCTCGCAGGCGGCCAGGACCCCGCATCTGTGGAGCCGCGTGTGTGTGGACGCCGGCTTTCTCAATCTCAGCTCCAAGTTTCCCGATTTCCTCTTCTCTAGCAGAGATCGTAATGAGAGCAAGGCTTTCAGTCTACGCAAGAAGCACATCTTTCATCTCACATCGCGCAACGCGTCCATCCGCGATCTGACCTACGAACTCTACGTGGACCAGTACCAGCACACCCTTAAGAAGCTTCTTGACGCGCAGCATTGCTCGAACCTGGAGAAGCTGAGCGTGACGTGCTACGACATCTGCACGACGCGCGGGGAGGCGTTCGCGAGGAAGTTGGAGTTCGTGTCGGACGTCCTGCGGAAGGCCCACAGTCTGAGCCCGGGGATAAAGAGCCTGAGGATGCGCAGCTGCCAGCTGCTGGTCCTGCCCGAGAAGCTGGAGCTGCTCTTCAAGTTCCAGCACCTGCAGCACCTGGAAGTGCAGCTGTTTCTGAAGGACAATGTGCACCTGTCAGGTGATGAGGGCATTTTTTTATAGGCTTAGATAGCCTCTACCAGGCTTTGGGAGGCAGGAAAGAGTAGAAATTGGCCAAATAGAGTGATAACATGCCGGGGGATTTTGTCCTCTAGAGAGTGCGGCAAAGTGTATTCTCTAGCAGACCAACTCCCCTGGGATGTTATGTCTCTATTTGGTCAATTTCTACTCTTTCCAGCCTTCTCCCAAAGCCTGGTAGAGGCTAAAGTTTACACACAAAGGCAGGATGATATGTTCTCACGTGCATGTTACGCATCTGTTCCCTCATAATCATAGTGAAGAAAACATAATTGCACGAACGAAAATTTCAAACATAATAGCAATGTTTTATTTGAAAAGTTGAATGAACATGTTTGTAATTATTTTTGTAAATTGCCTATTACGTAGTGTCATTTACATAATACTAGAGGTGAAATCAAACTAGACTGATAATTTCTCATCATCAAACTTGACTGATTATCTTTAAAAGTTTATCTGTGTTGGTAGACGTCATTATAATTATGCAGGAAGTTTAATCATATAATTTCCAACACGATGAATTGGACTGGAGTTGTAGAGTCAAAAATTTGGGTAACACTAATTCCTTGTGTTGGAAATTACAGTATAAACTTCCTGCACAGACTGATTATGTCAGTTTCTCAGTGAATCATTATGTTTACCAAAGGAAAACATATTGTTTTTGCTCCATTTCTTCTTCTTCTTCTTCTTCTCCAAACAGTGACCTATGACCTGACCAATGATATGATTTGTTGACGTCTGTCACCATGGCGACTGGTATTGGGTTACATAATGTTGCAATTTCATGGTCTGCTCTGCTCCTGTCACCATATACTAGTAGTACATGTATGTAAATGTGTTTGAGTAAGAATTAACACAGCAGACCATGTCCGAAGGTAAACATTATGCATTCGCTTTTGCAAATGTTACTTCTCTAGTTGAATATGAATTTGTGTGTGTTTGTGTGATTCTGCATCTAGGGGAAACCCTTGAGCGACTGTTCACCAATTTCCCATGTCTGACCACACTGGAGCTGGAGGTGGACTCCACCTTAGACTACAAGCTGCCGGGGAGGGTCAACTTCCGCATGGCCTGCCCCACTTTACAGCACCTCCGCCTCTACTACAGCCCCGACTTCAGACCCACCAGCATCAACATGCCGAGCCTGAAGACCTTCAGCATCAAGTACTGGACCGACTTTTCCCCACACCCCCGCAGAGTGGTGTTCCAGGACTGTCTGTTTGAGATGATCGTGAGAGGCTGTCCGGGGATCGCGTCAATCAATCAGAAGGAGGTGCTGGGATTGGTGGAGGAGTACAGGGAGGATCCAGAGAGGGTGAAGCTGCTGAGTGTGTGTTACTGTCCGCGTCATGGCATGGCTCCGCCTCCTCCAGGGGCTATCAACATCATGGTGTACTTTGACCATCACCAATAGCATTGGGCTTGAAATACATTTTACCTGCAGTATGAGGCCGCACCAATTTCATTTGTTGGTTGTCGGATTCACCTCTTCATGTTTTTCTGATTTGCAAAAACAAAAAATTCTGAATCAAATAAAAAATGTTAATATTTTGCCCCCAACAGTAGAAGAAAGTCCTTTTCTTCCTAGTTCTTACAGTTTTTCCATCTATCAATGCAATGGTTTGATTAAAAGTTCAAAATTCATTGAAAAAAATATCAACCCAGCCTTTTAAAATTTGTGTTGACTCAATGGCTCCTATCATTGCATTTGGGGCTATAATAGGATGCCTAACCCAGTTTTTTTTTTTTTTCACCCTGTCGCTTCATTTTTTTCTGGATAATCCAAGAACCAACAAATTAAATTTGTGTGGCCCTAGTGTAGATAATATTGGAAATGACCTGCACCAAAAGTTTACCTGCACCACTCAAAATGAAGTACATGTACATTGTATGTATCATACTAAAACTGTTCGGTAACCATTGCCAATATTTCTTTTATATATGCCATAGGTGGTAACACTGTCAATGCAGGAAAGGTTATGAAAAAAAATGTTGAGTTTCCTGTTTTCCGACCAACTCTAGAAAAAAAACTGCAAACCCTAGCCTTTTATTTTTGTGGACCCCTGCAAGGGACATAAATTTTTCAATCTAAATTCTGATCGACCATTGCTTGCTCCATGATCTGACACCCGAGTGATGAAACGTTGTACAATCGGTTTTCAAACATTGACATTGAAAATGTATGTGTCCTCATGTTAGTTTTACTTCTTTTAAAACTGTCACTATTGTGTAAGTTGGATCACTACAGATTGCCAAAGTCTAAAAAAGAAATATTGAACAAAAGATAATCCCTACCTACCAACCCTAATTTTTTCAGGACTGAAAAAGGGAACACAACATTTTCTTTCCTAGGTAAAATAAATACTAGTATTCTCATACACCAACATGTATCTATAAACCCAGTACATGGAGAAGGGCAAGTTATTATTAGGTGCAGGTAGACATCAGAAATAACTGCACAATCCAATTGCAATTTTACCTTCATTAATTGCACCCAGTATTTAGAACCCTGAATAGTATACATCTGAAGTAGCTTGTTTCTATTTGTGTGAAAATGCAAAAGTATTATACAATGTTATCAGGGCTCTGACCAACTAGAAAAAGGTAAACATTAAAGAATTCTGCCAATTATGTAAAGAAATAGGACTATGTGCACCATAATGTGAGCAATGTACTTTATTGGGACTTTAGTATTTATAGATGTAATACTACACAGTGCTGCTAAATGGCATCACTGAAATACAAAAGACATGTATGACACAGTCCTTCCAGTGCTGACAATAACAGGTTTCTAAACATTGTAAGTCTGAAGTAGTGCTGCATACCGGTTCACTGGACTTGGATCCGGACTTGTAAGAATGTTTAGGTTCAAGTCAAAAAAACCTAAAAGTCAAGAACCGAGTCCGGACTTATTACCATAAAAGACCATTTCACATACCCCTTTTCTTTCCAAACCACTTAAAACCTTCCGTACGTTGCAAAAACTTTGCTGCAAAATTAAGAAAACATTGCCATCGGGCATTGTCAAGTACCGGCCTACATGTTATGTGGCCACAGTTTCACCCAGACAACATTGCAAGGTTGCCAACATGCAATTTTGTATATGCCGTGGGTTTAGGTCCGGACCTACAAGTCCGGAACTGAACCTAAACCTCTGGACTTGAATCCGGACCTGAACCTGAAATTGGGTTTAGGTATGACTATATACCAGTCACACTTAAGAATAAGCTTATAACGGTAGTGTGACTTTAAGGTGTTAACTAGGACTAGGAGCTTGACTAGACATCTTTTGGACAGGAACTTTCAGAAGAACATGGCTGCAATTCTCTAGGAAAGGTAAAAGTTGATTGGGCTAGCTTCTTGTAACAGATCATGATACAGCCATAAAAGTTGTGTGAAGTTAGAGTTCATATATTTATTGTTTATGAAGCACACATCACAACATTTGGGGAGTGTCTCTTCCTATTTATAACATATTACAAATGTTGATTGCACTGATTTTAGTCCTTGTTTTTCCTGACGTCTTTTTTAATTAGTTACTCAGGCCACACCAATTTAATTTCTTGGTTAATGGATTCGCCCGCTTCATTTTTTCTGATTTGCAAATAAAAATAAAAATTCAGAATCAACTGCAAAATGCTCATATTTTGCCCTGAACAGTAGAAAACAGTCCTTTCCATCCTAGTTGTTACAGTTATTCCATCTTTCAATGCAATGGTATCATTAAAAGTTCAAAATTCATTGTTTGAATTTTGAACCAGCCTGGTGTGTTGACTTCATGGCTCCTATTTTACCATTTTGGGCCATAGTAGGATGCCTAGGCCTGTTTGTTTTTTTTCGCCTGCCCGCTCCATTATTTTTCTAGAAAAATCCGTTAACCAAGAAATTCAATTGGTGTGGCCACAGGATTGCAAATAAATTTCGAGTGTGTGTAAATGATATTTATATAGAGAAACACAGGGAGCAAAATTTGGCTTCATGTATGAGTATTTCATGTCCTTGGGGCCAGATCTAACACACCCAACCACACGTAGCATACACTGACACACAGGTCAAACATTACAGATGCACATTTAATCATAATCGTCTCAGTTTATTGAAGAAATCACAAAAAAGGTGCAATATCTTAAGCATTCTTATTAACACCAGTCTCAGTGAAAGGCAGAAGATATAACAGTGTTGGTATTAAACTGTTTCGTTTTAACTTACAGCCTTGATTGGTACAGTGGTTTTCATTGTAAATTTTCTTCTGTGGAACAAGCTACATTTATACATGACAAATGTGACGCAAACGCTGTTTCAATTGTAGAAATACCGACCTGCTTGGAGTGCAAATGGCTGCTGTCGCTAGGTGGGGTGTCAGCCTTGCTCCAGAAGCCATCCGGTCAATGTCTATTTTGGTGTCCTATTACTTATAAGAGTGAACAATACATGTACTAGTGTACTGTCGTACGGCAAAGCCCCGACAGGGGGCGTTTATGAGAAGCTCAATTTTGATTGCACGCGAGGGCAGCGACCCCTTTCCATTGGGGAGGCGACCTTTGAGCTTCCAAATCTCAGAAGTTCAAACGATATGAAACGTGCACACGTACATTTGTATTTTTTGTGTGATTTGACATTAGCATAGATGCAATATCTTTGAGAGACAGAATATCAATATGGCAACAGATCGTATAGGAAACATGGTAACCAAATAAAGTAAGTAACAAGTACGATTTTTTTTTAAAACACAGGCGACGATTTTGTGTTCATCTGTTCCGTTCTTGACTCTTCTTACAATACATCTGACAACAATTACTTATTAGTGAGTTAGGTTCAAATTATTCATGTTGAAATCCAGGCAAACAATGCTCACAGTCAATTCAAACTCTGCTGCTGGATACATTATGGAAACTACTTCCGAAGGGTTCGAGTGACATTCACCACTATTCTTAAGTTTAGTGTCACTTAAAAAGAAGACACTGAAAATACTTCAAATCCTACAAACTAATTACTAATAGTTCCCGTATGATTCATTTTACCCACCCTGAATTGTGGACCAGCAAAAATACATACATTCTTTGTCCTTTTCACCTTTTTATGGCTTCACCACAAAGTGGTGAAGACATATTGTGTTCCCTCATGTTTCTTCTTCTTCTCCTGCCATTTCTTTAAATGGATTCATCTCTGCCATTTTCCGGCCAAATAACACGAAATTTGGCATGAAGGTAGAGTGGGCAAATACCCCGACGTTTTTTTTTTCATTTTTTTGAAAAATTGTTTTTTTTTGGTTTTTGGGCCATTTTCAGGCAAAAAATATACATTTTGAGATCTGGTTCCCAGGTACTAAAACCAAATGACCTGAAATTTGGTATGGGGATACCTTGGACATATGTCTACAAAAAGTCATTCAAGCTTTTGACATACACCACTTTAAAATTGGGAAAAATAAGGCTTTTTCGCTATTTTCGGACCCAAAATGTACATTTTTGGCTCCTGTGCCCTAATATTAAATCTGAATGACCTGAAATTCGGTATGGGGATACCTTGGACACGTGTCCAAAGAATGCCATTCACGCTTTTGACATATACCACTTTAAAATTTTGTAAAATAGGGCTTTTTTGCTATTTTCGGACCAAAAATGTACATTTTTGGCTCCTGTGCCCTAATATTAAATCCGAATGACCTGAAATTTGGTATGAGAATACCTTGGACACATGTCCAAAGAATGTCATTCACGATTTTGACATACACCACTTTAAAGTTATGTAAAATAGGGCTTTTTGGCTATTTCCGGCATTGGAAGGTTCCATTTCTGCATGGGGGTGTAGACTATTGGCAGCCATCGTAGGATAGATCCATTTTCGGTATGGGGGATAGGGTGAAGCCATCTGCTGCATTTGCTCTCAAGCAAATGTCGGCCTTTCTAGTTGTCATCTTTGTTACTACAAAATGTATAATTACAAGTTCGAGGTGATTTTGTAATAATATAAGATCTTCCTCTTGTGTACCTCCAGTCTCACTAGGACAACAGTTCTGAAGTCTCCATAACCCACATATTATTTACTACATTATAAGTAACAGTAAGTAACAGTAAGTAAGTTAAATTCCCATCTTGTGCCCTTCTGAAATCCTACAACAACATATTTGAACTGCAAGTCTCCACAACATACATACTATTTACTACATTATAAGTAACGGTAAGTACCATCCTAAGCCCTTCCAACACACTAGAACAACAGTTCTGACCTGCAGGAATAACCCATGTATTAATAACCCATAACCCATATTATTTACTACAGTAACCGTTTTGAACTCAAATCTCCACAACCCACGAACTATTTGCTACATTTCAATAATAAGTAAGTTAAAAGTACCATCTTGTGTCCTTCTGACACACTACAACAACCGTTTTGAACTCAAATCTCCAGAACCTGCGAAATATTTGCTACATTGTAATAATAAGTAGATCTAAGTTAAAAGTACCATCTTGTGTCCTTCTGTCACACTACAACAACAAATGTGAACGGCAAGTCTCCACAACCCACGAACTATATATATATATACTTACTGATGCTTAACCCACCCTAAAATTTTGGACCTCCAAAGCAGCAAACGTTAATTTTTTTCATTTTTTCTGCTATTATCTTTTATAATTCCATTTTTATATGTGGACATACGTATTTCAAGCTCTGCCTGTACATCAGAGTCAATACATGGAATACAGTAACAGTGTTAGGCATAATGAGTCATAGGTTTTTTGAAAATGTCGAAAAACTATAATTGGCGTGACCAATAGCAGCGTCTTTGTGGATAAAATAAAAGGATTGTCTTTACAATAGTTGCTTCTGCACTTGCTTTGTCACTCATAGGTTACCAACAGTGACCTTGTGAAAACGTAAATTAAATTATGGTGTTTCCACATTATCGTACAGAGAATTTACCTCTGACGCTGTCGGCCCGGTGCCATAATTTAGATTGGCTCGACATTGGCTCTGCCCTGTCTGATCATGACCACTGGTCATTACAGTAGCTGTGGTGTTTGTGTTGGATTCAGTGTTGGTCTGAGACTGACCCTGTCCTGTCTGATCATCACCACTGGTCATTACAGTAGCTGATGTATTTGGGGTGGATTCAGTGGTGGCCTGAGACTGACCCTGTCCTGTCTGATCGTGACCACTGGACATTACAGTAGCTGTGGTGTCTGTGTTAGATTCAATGATGGCCTGAGACTGACCCTGTCCTGCCTGATCATGACCACTGGCCATCGCAGCATCTGTGGTGTTTATGTTAGATTCAATGATGGCCTGAGACTGACCCTGTCCTGTCTGATCGTGACCACTGGACATTACAGTAGCTGTGGTGTTTGTGTTAGATTCAATGATGGCCCGAGACTGACCCTGTCCTGCCTGATCATCACCACTGGCCATTACAGTAGCTGTTGTGTTTGTGTTAGATTCAATGATGGCCTGAGACTGACCCTGTCCTGCCTGATCATGACCACTGGCCATCGCAGCATCTGTGGTGTTTGTGTTGGATTCAGTGATGGCCTGAAACTGACCCTGCCCTGCCTGATCATGACCACTGGCCATTACAGTATCTGTGGTGTTTGTGCTAGATTCAATGATGGCCCGAGACTGGCCCTGCCCTGCCTGATCATCACCACTGGACATTACAGTAGCTGTGGTGTTTGTGTTAGATTCAATGATGGCCTGAGACTGACCCTGCCCTGTCTGATCATGACCACTGGCCATCGCAGCATCTGTGGTGTTTGTGTTGGATTCAGTGATGGCCTGGGACTGACCCTTCCCTGTCTGATCATCACCACTGGCCATTACAGTAGCTGCTGTGTTTGTGTTGTTACCAACAACATTGGGATTCTCTAAAGTAGGATGACTGGTCTTCATCTTGTACCACACTGTAAGTACGGCTATGCCAATCAGGACAATGCCAACAACTGAAGCACAGAAAGAGCCAATGAGAACAGGTAGGGGTGAACTGGGAGCAGATTCTGGTTTGTCTGAAGTTAAAAGGAGTGAAGGTAGTGTTGCTCTTGCTGTTTGTGTGTTTTCTTCATGACGTGCTGTTGAGCTAGCAGCGCGTTTAAAGAACCAGTGATAGTGACAGTGAGAGTGATAAATCAATTCTTCTGGATTGACATCTGTAAGCTTCTGTCCCTGAACTTTGGCGGGTTGAGCACATATTATCCTGTCTTTGAATGCAGGATTTAGCCTGATGGGAGCCATCCTGCAGTCACAATGCCAGGGGTTCCCATCTAGTTTTATTGTAATATTAGATGGGACGACACCAAAAGCTGCCAGGGGAATGGCAGACATCTTATTGTTTTGAAGGCAGAGAAGTTGGAGTAGGGGCAGATTTTTAAATGCACCAGAATGGATGATAGTTATCTGGTTGCCGACCAAACCCAACTCTTGTAGCTGGGGAAGATTTGCAAATGTACCAGCGTGAATTACTGTTATCTGGTTGATGTCCAGATATAAACGTTTTAATCCAGGTAGGTTTGCAACCGTACCAGACCGAACCTCTATCATCTTGTTATCGTTTAGGTTCAGAAGTTGTAGACGTGGTAGGTTTGCAAATGAACCAGGCTGTATCGTTATTATCTGATTGTGTCCCAGATCTAGACTTTTTAGCTTTGGTAGATTTGAAAATAAACCAGCCTGAATTTTTGTTATCTGGTTGTTGTATAGATTCAAATGTTGTAGTCGGGGTAGGTTTACAAATGCACCAAGCTCAATCTTTTTTATATTGTTTATGTTTAGATATAACTTTTGTAGCTGGGGTAGATTTTCAAATGAACCGGAATGTATCATTGTTATCTGGTTGTAAACAAGACCCAAATGTTGTAGCTTTGGTAGGTTTACAAATGAACCAGGCTGAATCTTTGTTATCTGGTTTCTGCCCAGTTCCAAGTTGCATAGGCTGGGTAGATCTGCAAATGTACCAGCTTCAACCTGCGTTAACCGGTTTTGGTTCAGTTCCAAAACTTTAAGGCGGGGAAGATTTGCAAGTGCACCTGGTTGAATCATTGTCATCTTGTTTTCGATTACCTCCAACACTTCTAGCGTGGGTAGATTTGCAAACATACCGTGCCTAATCACTGTTATCCGGTTGAAGATTAGGCGCAACCTACACAAATACATATAGCGTAACAGCTCAGAACTCTTTACAGTTGTAATAAGATTAGCATTCAAATTCAATTCAGAAATGGATGTTGGGATGTCCTGATGAGGGATGCTGGTTAGGCCCTTGTCAAAAAACCTGATGCGACGTGATGGTTCATAGCTACAGGCAGCTTCTGGCATGTTGGGTTCCTTCAGGATGATGAGAAGGAAAATCAGCATACGCCTCATTTTTTCTTCCCGTGATGTCTTGCCACCTAAAGAGAACAGCAAGCTACTCAATAAGGTCACATCAACATTTATTTTTAGTTCTTGTACCTCAATTTCGAAAGAAAAGATGATTTACGGGAGTACAAACATAAGCAGGTCCGATAGTAAAATTGGAGAGAAATATAGTTGGGATCATGTTTTTTTTTCATTTTGCTCTCTTGATAATTTCATTGTTCATTAATCGAAAATGTCAGATAAAATTAATCGGAGTGATATATATGATTTCGTAACAGTCCCATTTATCCTGTGTGACTGCTCTTGCCCCATTGTTTACTGTTCATGTAGGACTGTTACTGGAATGATTTAAAGGGGTGGTTCCGAGAGAGATGACGCGCCTTATAGATCATTCGTACAAGAAGCTGGTGGGTGACCAAAATTGAAATTAGCTTAAGAACTTTAAAACCATTTTGATGAGGAATCGTGTTGAATTTTTGGCATTTCTATCGGTGGATTGTACCGTGTAGGGTTCTGGGTAAATTTTGTCTGAAGCTAGCTGCTTAAATATGAATAATATTCGTATTGCTTTCTCTTTCTTCCTGGCATTGTTTGCAACTACTGGATAAGACAATTAGTCGAATTATAGGACTGTGTATAACACTCTTTCTGAAATATGATCAGTCTAAAATTGATTTTCTAAAAACTATTTACCTTTGTTGACTGTCATGGACATCGCAGTCTGCCACCTTAACATCTGCTTAAACAATTAAATCTTAATTCATCATCACCAAGTAAAGTGGTCAGTGGCCATTGTTTAAAGCACAGTTAACTGTTTAGATAACAGATTTAGCGTTACTAATTATCCACTGGCAGGCGCATACCTTTTCAGCTAGTCAAAATAGCTTCAGTTGGCACTGTCTGGGTACGTATGAACTCGTGTTCCTTGTCTCTGGCAAATGTTGCAATTTTCATGCGAGGTGTGTTCTACTCTACTTCGGTACTGATCCGTAATGCCGTGTGACAAACAACCCAAGATTAGTTTTATACACATGGTAGATTTAATTGTCTGAATGGTACTTCCTTCACCTTGTGTGCATTCGAAGTGCGTTGCTTTTTTTAAATAGAAGCGAAATGCTCTCTTGGACGGAGAGAAGAAAAGTGCGTTTATTGTATCAAGATCCAAGAGACGAACGTTATTTTTTTTCTTTTGTTGAAGAGTGGTGCATTGCTTTTGAAATATGAGAGGTACTGTGCTTTATAGGACTTAGACTACTCTCCAAGCAGAGGTTTGGGTTTTTGGGGTATTTTTAGTGTGTTTTTAGGCTTTTTATCGGGGTTTCTCTTTTGCACTGAATTTTTTTTCCCACCAAACCCAACCTCTGTCGGCAGTCGAAAGCTTCAATGGGCTATAAACCTAATCACTTCAACACATTTCAGTCGTTCTGCAAGGAGGTGTGAACCAGACGCATGAATAGGCACAGTCCGCAGGAGGCATGTGGCCCAATGAATGCCTTTCTGACTGGCTAGATGTGTGATAATCCACCACAATAAAATGGATATCCCTAATGACAGTTTGATGGTTCCCGGGGAGGGGCACTATCGCCTGTTTTGAATAGCTTTTAATAGGTTTGCCCCTCCCCGGGGTGAGTGCCGGCAGAGGTTTGGTTTGGTGGGAAAAAAAATTCAAAAAGAGAAACCCCGATAAAAAAGCCTAAAAACAAACTAAAAATACACCCAAAACCCAAACCTCTGCTTGGAGAGTAGACTTAGACAGGGATTTGATAAAATAGGGACCCGCCATAAGTCCCATTCTCGTACTTGACCTTCGTGCCCCGACCTTCCAAAATCATGAACATCCATCCACGGAATCTCGAGTTATCCTGTTCACAAACTAACCAACAAACACAAAAGGTCTACCGCAGTAACGTAGGGACCCACGTAAGGCCCTTTTTCGAACTTGACCTTCTTCTCCCCAACATTAAATTGCCTACCCAAACAATGAACATCCATCCAAAGAATCTCGAGTTATCCTGTTCACAAACTAACCAACAAACACAAAAGGTCTACTGCAGTAACGTAGGGACCCACGTAAGGCCCTTTTTCGAACTTGACCTTCTTCTCCCCAACATTAAATTGCCTACCCAAACAATGAACATCCATCCAAAGAATCTCGAGTTATCCTGTTCACAAACTAACCAACAAACACAAAAGGTCTACCGCAGTAACGTAGGGACCCACGTAAGGCCCTTTTTCGAACTTGACCTTCTTCTCCCCAACATTAAATTGCCTACCCAAACAATGAACATCCATCCAAAGAATCTCGAGTTATCCTGTTCACAAACTAACCAACAAACACAAAAGGTCTACTGCAGTAACGTAGGGACTCACGTAAGGCCCATTTTCGAACTTGACCTTCTTCTCCCCAACATTAAATTGCCTACCCAAACAATGAACATCCATCCAAAGAATCTCGAGTTATCCTGTTCACAAACTAAGCAGCAAACACAAAAGGTCTACCTCAGTAACGTAGTGACCCCCGTAATGCCCATTTTCCAACTTGACCTTGCACGAAATCGGCTCTTTAAGCAGAAAAAAGGGACGAATGAAGTAACATGCTGTAGGCGTACGTGTGACCCTTTCGGCATTTCTGTCCAAGGCTTAGAAATCTTTGCGAAGTTCTAAGTAACAGAGAATGCGCCCTAAAAGTCTGCAATAACCTGCAATAGAACGATATAATACTGAGGAATTCGCTATTTTAAAATCTTGTTTGGGAGATGTATGGAGCGGACGAAATCATTGTTTTAGTACAGTACAGGTCAGGTATTTGCAGACGGCACCTGTGCAAGCGCGCGGGGCCGTTTCGATCCCTTTACCGTGCCGTCACGGGAGGTCATACCGTCGGCACGCCCAAGCAGGCGCGCGGGGCCGTGTCGATACCTTTCCAATTCCCGTACAGTTACAAGAGGTCTCGCCGTCGGCACGCCCAAGCTACATGTAGCGCGCGGGGCCGTGTAGATCCCTTTACCGTGCCGTCACGGGAGGTCATACCGTCGGCACGCCCAAGCAGGCGCGCGGGGCCGTGTCGATACCTTTCCCGTACAGTTACAAGAGGTCTCGCCGTCGGCACGCCCAAGCTAGCGCGTGGAGCCGTGTAGATCCAGTCACGAGGGGTCTTGCCGGCCAGCACAGACTGGAGGATAGGGGCCGTGTCGGGCTGTTCACTGTGCAGTCAAGAGGGGCCCCATGTTTGACCCTCACGACACCCACTTTACGTAGCTTACGTTACGCACACTTAAATGCATCTTATCTAAAACAATTTAAGGTAACTGCCAAAGTCATACTTATCTTGGTCTTTATGTTTTAAACGTTGTCAAGTACACATGTGGAGTACACTGCTGCAAATCAGTCCTTTATCTTCACTGCAACATTAAGCGACCGTAAAGATCAAGTAAGGATACGTTTATGTTTAAGTAGACTTTACGTTGTTCCTGTAGAGAGTGTAAAGATTGCCTGTCGATTGTGGCATTTACGATGGCTTAAGTGTGACTTAAATACTGCTTGATTATTTTGAAATATTGAAGCCTTATTTACGAACACCATTAAGCATGCTTAAATATATATCGTTTTTCGTGCAGTGCTACCAAAATCGTGAACATTTATCCACAGAATCTCGAGTTATACTGTTCACAAACTAACCAGCAAACACAAAAGGTCTACTGCAGTGATGTAGAGACCTCCCGGCCCATCTTCGAACTTGACCTTCGTCTCCCCAACAGTAACTTACCTACCTCGTCAACCTCCATCCACAGATTCTCGACTTATCTGACAGCTATATCTTCCCTTGCCGACTATGAAGAAACAACAAAATCTCCCCTCAACATCTGCTTGGAGAATTGAAACTTGAATTAAGGCATAATATAGTGTCAACACAGCATATGTAGCCTTACTGATGGTCCACTGGCAGACACAAACCTTTTCAGCTAGTCGAAATAGCCCCTATTGGCACTCTCTGGGTAGGACCTTGTGTAGAATGCCTCAGGCACAGGTTGCTGTTGTTCTTGTAGGTTGTGCCTGATCCGCAATGCCGTGTGACAAACAACCCAAGATTATATACACGTGGTGTAGCTGATTGTCTGAACGGAGCTTTCTTAGATGGATTCGATGTGAGGTGCGTTTTTGGATAAAGACAGGTGAAGTTCTTTCTTGGACGGAGAGATGAAAGAAAAGTTTGGTGCTTTGGGGGATCAACAGACGTGCGTTGCTTTCTTAGTTGGAGAGTGTTGCTTTTGGGATAAGAGAGGCACAGTGCTTTATCGGTCTTAGACATGAGTTTCAATTACTAACATAGGGACCTGCCTTGAACCAAAGTCTCGAACTTGACCTTCGTCAACAGATGTAGATTTCCCTATTCAGAATATATCCAGTTTGGCGCCCTGGAATTGCATCGTTTTCCAATTTGTCGCTACACATGGACCACGTAGCTCGTCTTAAAAGACGGATTTTAACCACCGAGTTCTTCCCTGTCCAAGCACCGTGACTTGCCATCTTGCTCTGAGCAGCAACGTGGTCTTACCACCTGATACGGAATCACTATAATTTGCATTTTCTCAATTAATTAATTAAGTTAGATTGAACACCGGTGTGATCTTACCAGCTTAATTCTAATATAATTTGCATGTCTTCGTTATTAAAGCTTTAAAACGTTTAGACTAGTATCATTATATCATTATTTGCCTTACAAATATTGTTATCTAATATCTTTCAACCTCAAAAATGTATTCCTTTGAGCTTTTATTTCAGCATTAGGGTTGACATCAGCGATGACAGCATTACAGTTGGTTTTAAGACAATACACCTTTACTTTACACAGTCTTGAATGCTTTGAACGAAATATTGTGTCAAGTGTTTCTCGTTTTGATATCCACTGGACCCGATTCTGCAAATTTTCATTCGGGACATAGTTGGTTCCGCACACCTAGCCTCTACCAGGCTTCGGGAGGCGACTGGAAAGAGTAGAAATTGGCCAAATAGAGAGATAGCATGCCAGGGGAGTTGGTAAGATAGAACGTCCTTCAGCAGACCAACTCCCTTGGCATGCCCATCTCTCTATTTGGCCGATTTCTACTCTACATTAACATAATATGCATCGTGATGTTGACTTTTGATTAACATCTCCCAAGTATGAATTTCTTATCATTTACCACTAAGGAGTCAAAGAATTTTCAGATTAATTATGCAAATTAGGGCCATATTTGCATAATTGGTATCTGGTGATATTCCACCTGCCATAGATTATAAACATTATGTGTACCAATTAAAGTCCCATGATGTAAAACACTGTAATTATAGAATTTCCTCATTGATTATGCAAATGAAGTCATCATATGCATAATTTATCCAATAATGTATATCTCTGTCTAAGCTACCCACATACCAAAAATCATAAAAATACATTGTTTCTTTGTGAATTTATCTGCTTTGAAAGGTTCCGCCAGAAACCCCCCTGCAGTCCCAGAACAAGCTGCTAGGGGGAACCAAACCCACACCACTTATTACTGGCAGGAAGAGTTATCCACCACTCAAAAATCAAAACCATAGCATGTCCAGGACAAAACATACAATAACCGGAAGTTCTGCTGCAGTACCAAGGTCAGCCACCAGGAGGCCCGAATTTGGCTACCCAACACCTATCCACATACATATGTGCCTTTGTTTATCGCACAGACTGAACTGTCACTGTCCGCGAGCACTAAGAGCCGTTTGCCAGACCATAGAGAGCCCCATCGTCTCGCCGCTAGAATGATTGTGTAGAGTTCCTTCTCATTGATGTGCCTATTGCACATGTCCGGTTCGTCTTGACGCCAGGAAACATAAAACCAGTCCCCGCTATAAAACGCCGCCCCGCCGTTATCGCACGCATCCGTACTAAATATTGTAGGAGGAACTGGGTTTCTGTCCAGGAAGACCGCTGTCCCGTTGAACCTGGACATGAACTTCGTCCACCAGTCCAAGTCCGCCTTAGCCTCTCCAGAAAGTCTGGTGAAGTGGTGGGGGCGTCGCAGTGTCTTGGAGAGGTCAATAAGTCGCCGCATGAAAGTCCGTCCGCCACGGACAACTCGAGCCGCCCAGTTGAGTTTCCCCAGCAGGCTAAGCAGCTCTCGCTTTGTGACCCGCTTCCGCTCGCTCAGTTCGCATAGTAGGGTCCGCATGTCGCATAGTTTCGCACTGGGTAAGGAGAGAGTTCGCTCCACCGCGTCAATGTCAATGCCAAGAAAGGTAATCCGTTGCGTAGGGTACACCACTTTACGCCAATTTATTTCAAACCCTAATCGTGTCAGAAGGTCCACCAGGGTTTGGAATGCCAGGTGGCACTCCGCATACGTCGCTCCGATTATGAGAAAATCATCTAAGTAAACAACTATTGTGTGGTATCCACGTCTTTTCATCATCCGCCTCACTGATTGGGAAAGTCTATGAAATACTTCAGGTGATCGTCGGGCGCCAAACGGTAGCTTTGTATCGAAAATATAAGTGTACTCACGCTGTCCGTCAAACTGCCATTTCAGTCCGGTGGCGTCATAGTTAGAAGGGTGGATTGGGACCGACCGGTACGCTGATTTCAGGTCTATCTTCGCCATGAAATAGCCTGGCTCTAACATGTTAACCGCGTCGTCAAGGGTTTGATAGGAGAAGTGTTCTGTTTCAACATAGTCATTTTAAAGCTGTTCCCACGGGGCGACTACAGTCGTGGATGAGACGTACGTCGTCAGAATTCGCCTTAGGGATAGCACCTAGTGCGCTCACTATTGTCGGTTTCGTGTCGCTCTGTTTGTAGTTGCCTTTGTCCAGTTCGCTGGAGAGTTGAGCCTCGACCTTCTCGCGCACGGAGGGGTCAGTCGCTGACCTGTAGTTATGGCATTCTACAGGGGAAAGTTCAATGTTGTCGGGTAGGATACGAAATCCGTTTTGCACTCCATCTAATAAGAAATCTTTGTCGGGGTCGTTCGCAAGTTCGGTTAGCCATACTTCGCTGTTCAGTGGGGACTCCACGAATTGCTATTTTTGCTTCTTGTGCTCGTGTTGTGGATGGAGTTCCCCGCAGCCTGGGACGATACACACATGGGCGTAGTTGCACGTGGCACGGCGGCATCCTGTCTGGTTCTGGTAGTTGACACAGATCTCCTGACCGTCCGTCGTCTTTGCCCGTGCTGCCGCGGGTCTGCGCTGCTGTGGCCGTGCGTGGGGAGCATAGGCCGGCTTACTTCGTAGGAAGCGGGAGTGGAGGTGCTCGGAATCCTTGCCCCAGCGAAACTCATTGCGGTGTTGGATGACCCTGTACTGGTTGTCGTACAACATTACCGATGCACAATCGAACACTTCGAAGAGCTCAGAAACCTTCACCGTATAACTCAGATAGTCCGAGATATCCTGCCTAGTTTTAAGCTTGTTGTCCTTGATCAGAGCGTCCATGATTTTGGCATTAGCCGCAGACCACGCTGGAACTTTAATGGACTCTAGCTTTGGTTTGGTCTTGCTGGTCCGTAAGATGATGGCCGTCTGGCCATCCCTAGCAATCTCGTGATCACTTTCAGGCTGAGTGTAAGAGTCGACGAAATCGGGTATAAGCAAGGGCTTCTCACCTGGCTTGGAAGTCGGGGAAGTGAGGTAAAACGACTGGTCGTCGTCCTTGATGACCTCCGCTGTGTCGTCGACTTCGGCGAGAAGGGCGTTGAGGGCCTGGTCCGCTTTTAGGTCCTCCAGAGTGACCTTCTGCAGGGCTGCCTTCGCTGGTGTTGTGACCTGCAGTTTCGCGGTAGCCTTGCAGAGTAAAGCGTACTGCCCGATCGTGACCTCCAGGTCTTTCAACATCTCCGCCGTCACACACTGAAGGGCAGTTGGTTCCGTGAGGTCGGCTTCCTCCATCTTTTTGATGGTCACGGACGAGAGTTTGGCCTCGGAGGCCCACGCCTTGAAGTCAAAGTTTGCCGACATCGCTCGCTTGATTTTTAGCGGCCGCACCCGAGAAACGCAGGGTCTGAGTGACCACACTGGCCACGCTGGCCAGCATCTGTTGTAGATTACACAGAGTAGTGTCGCTTGTCCCCCCTCGTATGGGGGGACCGTTCGTTAGCTATGCTAAACAACAAATAAAGTAATTCTTTATTTTAGTCCAAATATCATTGCAATCCATCCAAAGGTTCAAAAGTTATGCTGGCCGCAAATGTCTGGAAACACAAACACAAACACACACATAGACAGACACACAGACAGACAGACACGCCAAAAACAATACCTCCATTTTCATGGAGGTAATAATTGCCATTGAGGAAGTGTAGATGCCAAAATACGACGAGTGTAAGAGATTGGCACACAGATGTCAGCCATGTTTGTTTACATTCTGATACTAGTAGTTTGTGGTGGCACCACAAATCGAGTGCGCCTATAGTGTGTGCTGTTTTATCGCCAACCGTAAATGTCAGAAATATGACATTATTGCACAAAAATGTTGAAACGTGAAAGTAAATTTTACAATTACAGGAATATTTTCCAAAAAGAAATATTTAGATTTTTGGTCCAAAATTGTTACATAATGTCAGCTCTTTATTCCGTTGGTATTAACGTTAAGTACCAACAAGAAGATTTTACAAAGATAACAGTCATTGTATACAACCAGATAAAATCTTAAATTGTGGGATTTTTAGGAACGTTTTCCAGTACAGTATTAGTGTTAGATATTCTACCCAATTGACCCGTAATGATGTATACTGTGTTTTTACTGTTACAGTTATTGTAGGTGACAGGTGGAGAGCATCCGTGTCACGTAACTAGTGCAGGAACAGAAGAAACATATGGTATGACAAAACAGACAATTAGTACACATAGAACTTCAGATGACTAAGAAACTACTAGTAAAAACTTTCGATCAATTGCTTACGTCACGTATCAGTAAAATCTCGTGTGAATATGTCACGTGTTTATAAACCGTAATTCTCGCGAGATCACGTTGTGAAGTGATTGGTCATTAATTATCCTGATGAAGGCAACAGTGGTCGCTGAAAATTTGATCCCTGTACAATTGTGTGTTGGAATAAAGTTCAGCCTTTTACTATGATTACTACCAACGTTAACAAGGATGAACTTTCATGGTACTTGTCGTTTGTAGTATCAAGTGCACCAACTATTAGAAAGAATCCATCAGGAATTAAGCACCACTGTTACAAGAACAGAATGGGAAATTACCACAGCATGGTTGCAACCACGGGCGCCAGAGAATATTTCTCAGCGAAAACTGGCTCTCTACTTCGTCTACGGACGACATGTGATCCCTGACACCTCTCTCGATTGTCGAGATGATCTCGGCAAACTTCGGCTCGCTCTCGGGTGAGATCGGACTTCGCTCGGCCGGATCCGTGGCGATGTCGAAGAGCAAGGGAGGATCGTGGTGAGTGACGTAATCACCTCCGCACCGACACAGGAAGGTGTGGTAACAACCTTCAGTCCCAGGGTCCCAGTTAGGAGTCGTGTAGTGCGCCTTCCACACAGACCTTCCTATATGAGGAGGAACAAGACAGTTCTTAGTCTATCACCACAAACTCAACTTATTGAAATTGGAAGACACAAAGATTAACCTTACGCAAATATTGTAATTTGAATGGCATAGAGGACGAATGCCATCTTTTAATATAATGTAGATTGAATATTAAAGAGAGACATTAACTCTTTCCTTATTTCATACATCAATGCACTATAGAAGATAGTTTATATTTCTAATGAAACTAGACAATTGCCATCCATATAAGGCCACATAAGTACACCATCTTAATTTTATGGATGACATCCGCGCGCGTATTGATTTTTGCCTGTCCTAAAAAAAAAAAGATCACGTCCACCGACCTGGCTCTAGGCCTGGGTAGTCCGTGGTAATTAGCGACCATACGGAGCCGAGCACCCATGCTACCGAAGCTCAAGAACTTAGTACATACGTACAGTGCCGATTTATAAATTCCGCAAAAAGCCAGCATGTGTCGGCTTGTCGTGTACGTCGCTAAGTACTGCCGCAAATTCACAACACCAGCTTTGTATTCCTGTGGTTTAGTAGCATTTTTATTTTGGCCGGAATTTTTTTTATTCGCCCGCGCGCACTAGTTTGGGGGTCTTCAGAGGATGTCATCCATAAAATTAAGTCGGTGTGGCCTAATAAAGTCAACATGGCCTTACCTGTAGGCGGCCTGTAGCGGGCTGCATGTAGCCTGCTCCCACAGTAGTGCATGAGGAACCGGCGGTCTGTCACGTTTCTGCTCCCCGTCAGGAGAGGCATCAGGTCCCGGCCGTCGATGACTCGGTCCCCGGGAGTCTTCAGCTGGGCCAAGCGCAGAACCGTGGGGAACACGTCCATCTGACTGGTGGGTTCGTCCAGTACCGTGCCCGGCCGGACAGCTCTGTATGGGGGGATAAAGTCCCTGTCACACGTTCACGAATTTGACCTGCCCAACACTTGTCGACTAAACAGCAACAAGTTGACAGTCATAATGTATTACAACGACTGCGTAAATTAATCTGCGATCTTTAAACCTGTATATGTTATGGTTTAGTGTTTTGGTTTGGTGTTTTGTTTGAGGTAGATTTTATTGACTTACTTCGGCCAGCGCAAGACGGTTGGCATCCGGATTCCTCCGTCCCATCCTCCCATGCCTTTTCCTCCTGTAATTGATGTAAAAAAAATTACTGCAAAATTATCCAGATTGATTGTGTTTATTTTTGTAATCTAAAGACGTAGAGGGACACACTCAAGTTTTTTCAACTTAAAGCCGCCTCCAATACCGTGAGGGGACAATACAAATCCACCTACGCGAAGTGAGAAAAGTCGTGTGCCTTTCCCAGGGGCACAAGATCGGTGGCATTTCAGGAATCGAACCCGCGACCTCTTGGTTCCGTAAGTTGTGGGGAATTCATAAAATACTTAACGCACGCCTGCAAAGAAGACAAACCTCTGACAAGATGCATTGTAATTTGCTGCGTGACGTTTTATATGAAATTAAAGTCATAAGAAAAACTCCACTCCGTACCTCTAAGTATTCCGTTGTGGCCTCCTTCCCTTTGCCCGTCTCTGACGGAGATCTCCTCGACGTGACCGCCGTTATCAGACGTCAGGTACACAAACGTCTTGTGAGACAGACCTCTCTTCTCAACGGCGTCCAAGATACGCCCGACCGCCCAGTCCATCTCTTCAACATTGTCGCCATACCGACCGTGTAGGCTCCTCCCTTCAAACTCTTCCGTAGCGAAGAGAGCCGTGTGGACTTTGAGAAAGGAGTGGAAAAGGAAAAACGGCCTGTCGGCGTTCTCTTCTATAAACTGTAGCGACTTGTTGATGAGTTTCGGCGTGAGATCATCTCTCAGACTGTACGGCTGCTCCGCTACTTTTTCGTTTTCCATGAGAAGACAGTTCCACGGCTTAAGCTGGACAATGAAAACCTTGGGGAAGGCCATGACTAGTGTACAGAACGCCAGAAAGGACAGCAGCGAGAGCCAGCGGACCCGTATTTTACCGAGAAACTTCATGAGAAGCAAAGACACGACTCCGACCAAGTACGCCCAACAGATCTGCTTGTACATTCGGTAGGCATGGCTCATGTAGTACACACTCTCGCCGTCTTCGCCACAGTCCCGGAAGTTTGTGTTCGGAGAGCCGTAGAAGTAGTCGAAGCCGTGGTTGTTGGGATGGTGACAGAGGCTGCCGGTACCCGCGCAGTGTAGACCGAGGTGCCATTTTCCTATGATGTAATGTGAAAAATTACAATGCAGCTTTGTTTATAGTTAAAACTTTTTAATCCAACACAAAGAAATTCTGTGACCTATAGCTTTCACTGGACACTGTACGAATATTGGATACCGAACAAGACTACTTTCTGAGAGGGTCGAAAGAGGCTATTTACATCAGGGCCCATCATCCTTCACTCAACCGCGACGGGGGCCGACATCGTCTTCAAGATACCTCTGACCCGGTGTTGACGTCACACTTCAGAGAAGCCACGTGACAAGTCTCACTGGGTCAGTCTACTGAGGAAGACCAGAGTGACTGGTCGAAAGCTCTAAGTGAGAGAACTTCTTTGTGTTCGATCAAAAGTTTTAACTATAAACGTGTATATATACCAACACATATGAACTTTCATGATAGTACATGTACAATACAGCTTTGTGTATGGGCTTACGGGAAATTAAAATTGGTTTCTGAACTTTCTGTTATTACCTCCGGGGGAGGAGACATCCTTCCGCGGAAGGGTTTTGTGAGAGATTTAGAATTTCACGTTCGCAGCAGTTTCTCGCGTTTGGGTGGACGGATTCTTTTGAGAATCGGTATATGTTTTGCTATTGGGCTGCAGATGATGCACGTTCTTTTGTTTTTATTGTATATGTGTTTTCGGGCGTGAAAATGGTGCCTTTTGATGGCCCCAAAACACCCCTTTGAGCGTGAAAGTGGTCACGACCGTTGACCTTTGGCGTGTTTAAGCTATTCTCGGTCTGGTCCACGTATATGACCCCTCACACAGAGGGGTGTCCGGTCTCGATAAATTCTTTGTTTAAAACCCTATATAAAAATATACAATAAAAAGCCCGGAGGTATAAAATCTCAGATTTTACTTGTTTAATATCTATTAATTGTCGCGAGTTATTAGAAAATAAAGTTATTGACTGATTAAAAAAACAATTATTTTCTAATAACTACTGACAATTAGTAGATCAAATTGTGAAAATAATTATGCACATGGAAGACATAGTCTCATCTAATATGTACCATTATGTCGCATTTTATTTATGAAAAAAATAATAAAAAGGTAAAAACATTTGAAGACGTCTTCAATATGGTCTGAAAAATCATATTCAGAATTTAACCTGACCCACCTATCAAGGCAGTGGCGTATCCAGCCTGCTTCAGCAGTGTTGCAAACGTTGTTTCCGTGGCAGGTAATCCACCGGTACAGCCGACGTTAGGTAAATACCTCAAGCCGTGGCGCGCTGCCATGCCTACAGAATAGTACATGTACATGGAAATGTGTGATGGGATGAAAGTGGGTGGTCTACATGTATAGGTAGACATGTTCCAATTAAGCCACGGTCACAACCCGCCGTACGTGCTTCTGCGTGCTGTCTACGTGCAAAAACGTGGGCAAACGCAGGGCATCCGTGCGTGGTGAGTACTGCCTCCGTACGGAATCCTACGGACTTGGGAGCACGCAGACACGCCGTAGAAGTTTAAGTGCATGGAAAACTTTTTCTACGTGCGGTCTGCGGATTCACCAACCGTGCGTGCGAATACGAGCGACGCGCGTGCCCCGTACGTGCCGTGCGGTAGAAGCACGTGTGAGTACGGCCTCCTTACGGTAGAGTTGCAATCACACAGAGATCGTACGTTGTAAGCACGTACAACTCACTTACCACTTGCGCAACGAACGATGCTGGCAACCACTTACGGCCAGACGTGGCGCGCAGACCACACTCTTACACTTTGCGCAACCGTGCGAGTGACGTGCGAGTGACGTGCGTAGACGCCACTCCTTCCCCACGTTTTCAGAAAAACGTAGTAGACGTAGCCTCCCAATAAAACGTACGGAGAAAAAGCACGTACGGCGGGTTGTGACCAGGGCATTAGTTTTATCATTTCTACAGGCCCCTTTTTAAGAGTATTTTCAACTAAGAATGGGTACAGAATCGATCGGTGAACACACTCCTTTAGCCTCTACGTTCCAAACGACTGCCCGGCCGGGCCCCGGGTTGGGAAATCGAATGTGATCGCGCCTTAACTAAGAAAGACTACAGAATCGGTGAACACACTCTTTTTAGCATCTACTGGGCGTCAGAAGCGTCGTAAAGGAGAAGAAATTGGCCAAATAGACAGATAACATGCAAAAAAAGTGTTGGTGCGCCGAAAGGAGTACAGTTTGCCGTCCGGGAGTGCTTACCGCTTCTGACGGGGTATCTCCCAGTCAGGAATGCCGCCCTGCTGGGTGTACACATGGCTGCTGCCGCTAGGTGGTGTGTCAGCTTCGCTCCTTCGGAAGCTATCCGGTCAATGTTTGGAGTCCTGTGATATAGTGAACGATTCTATTATAGTGTCGTACGGCAAAGCCTCGGCAGGTGGCGTTTATGAAAAGCCCAAGTTTGACTGTACGCTAGATCACGTACGAGACCACGTTGGCCGTACGGTCATTGACCCCTTCCCACTGGGAAGCCGAGCTTTGGGCTACCCAATCAAAGTTCAAACAATAAAGAAGTGTACAGTATTTTGTGAGTTTTCCATCTATCAATGCATTTCTTTGATAAAAATTTTTAAAATCTATTATAAACCAGTCTGGTATGTTGATGTCATGCCATCATAGCTTTTGACGCTATCAGAGGATATATACCTAGGTCTTTTTTTCGCTCTATCGCTTCATTTTTTTTCTGCAAAAAAAATCCGAGAACCAACAAATGAAATTGGTTTGGCCTTGTGTATTCAAAAATCACAGTATCCTGAAGGCATTATTATTATATAATAGATAAGTTTCCCAGCTTTGGACATTTAAATGAATTAGAACATTTACATTTCTTATGAAACTTGACAAACCATGTACCATTAGTTCTTTACGCTCGTAAACCTGTAACTGCGTCAAGAAGCGAGAAGACGTTGAACATGTAAATAGTAGATCACATTAGTATGTATAGTTTAAGTGTCATTGCTGTATCCTTTCCCTTGTCTATTCATGACCTGTACTTAGCTTGTTAGAGCACAAACGTACAATAAAGGTCTTTCTTTCATTCAGTATGTTTGTACACCAACGTTTTTAAATACAGCTTGTTTGGATTCTGTTATCTGTTCCTTTGATCGTCTTTTGTTTATGTATCACTACTTATTGAATCGGTGTCGTATAAGCCCACACGGGCTGGGCGCGGGATAGCGCACGACACGGAAATAAAGTATCATTCATTCATTCATTCATTCATTCATTCATTCATTCATTCATTCATTCATTCATTCATTCATTCGTTTGTTCGTTCATTCGTTCGTTCGTTCGTTCGTTCGTTCGTTCATTCATTCATTCATTCATTCATTCATTCATTCATTCATTCATTCATTCATTCATTCATTCATTCATTCATTCATTCATTCATTCATTCATTCATTCATTCATTCTTCATACAGCATACCTGATGGTGTCATTTCCGAAGCAGCCGACGTCCCCGTAGCCCAAGTCGTCCACCATGAAGAGTAGAAAGTTCGGCCTGTCGTCCTGCTCGGAGAGTACTACTGACGGACACCACAGCAGGCAGAGCAGACAAAACCGGACAAAACCAGCGCTGACTGGCGTTCCCGCTGCCATGTTGGAACTGCAGAAACTTGTACATCAGTAATTACATCAGTAACTAGAGAAGTAACATTTGCAAAGCAAATGCATAATGTTTACCTTTGGAAATGGAGTAGACCAGACCATGAAATTGCAACATTATGTAACCCAACACCATTCACCATGGTGACAGACGTCAACAAATCATGTCATTGGTCAGGTCATAGGTCACTGTTTGGAGAAGAAGAAGAGGAAGAAACTGAGCAAAAACAATATGTTTTCCTTCGGTAAACATAATGCATAAAATATAGTATAGTGTCGTACGGCAAAGCCTCGACAGGGGGCGTTTATGAAAAGTTCATGTTTGACTGTACGCCGGATCACGTACGGGACCATCGTGGCCGTACGGGTAATGACCCCTTTTCACTGGGAAGCCCATCTTTGGGCTACCAAATCTTTTTTTTATTTATTTATTGAAACAGTAAAGTACAAGACACAGAGGTGGAAACTCTAGCCGAAGCTAATACCAAATCTTGATGACCCAATTTACTGATTTTGTAAATTTTTGGAGCAAACAGCAGAATTAACTGCAAAAATTTCATGTTAGCATTACTGCAGGCAGGTGGGGTAGGCATATATATATACATGTACAGTCAAAACACTGCAAGCCCACCTGTTCTTCCTGCTTGATCTACAAAAACTAGCCTGTATTGCCATTAATCAGCTGGAACTTTGTAAAGGATAATTGTGATCGTCAACAGCTATTTGTGAGCGAAAGAACGGAATGAGCAGAGTGGGTGCCAGACGCTGGTTGGATGGTGTTCACAAGCGATAGATGGATGAGAAGCCCTAATGCCTAGCCTCTACCAGGCACCGCGGATCGCTGGAAAAATAGAAGAAATTGGCCGAAATAAAGGGATAGTAACGTTATACCAGAGAAGATCCAGGGCCATA